TGTTCCATGTGGCTACTGCACACAGCTGCTCACTAAGACTTGGAGAACGAGTGTCCTCATGGCTCTGCCTGGCAGCCCCATACTGGAGGGTTCTGGAACTCACTGACCAACAAGAGAAGAAAGTAGAGGCCGGACATATCCTGACTCCTCGTTCTTGGCCTCGGGGTTGAGTGATCGCCCCAAGTCTTCCCTGTGGCCAGTATTTGCAAGGGTCTCAGGAGGAGATGCACTGAGAGGAGGTCAGCAGTGATGGCGCAGTTGCTACGTGAACTCTAGATCAGCCGCTGAAGGAGATGGCAGTGCAGCCTACAATCCTCCAGGCTCCCGGCATGAGGACCAGCAATGCTACTCACAGATCTCAGACCTCCCGGGAAGCTGGGCCTTTCCTCGTGAGGTCCTGGCCAACCTCAGAAGTCAGCGCCCACAGCAGAAAGGTGGAGAGTGGGCAAGGAGCAGTAAAGTCTGCAGCCAGGGGTCCTGGGAATCTGGGAGCTCAAGTTGACCCATATGGCCAGGAGTATTCCTTCCCCAGGCACAGTGGCCACAGGTGGGCAGCTTCCTGGGGCCAGGGCTCCAGCAAACAGGACCAGCACATGGCAGGGGTGTCCAGGGCACAGTAGAACCACCCCTCTGCCTTCTCTGGGTTTGAGTCAGTGGGGTCCAGGGCCTCCATGGTTGGGGCCTCCATGGAAGTGGAGGGTCATCTGTCTCAGATCCCAGCACTGAAAGATGGGGGCCTTGCTTTGGAGGGCAGTGCAGGCATGGCCGGTGGATTTCATGGCAGCATGAGCCTGACCTCAGCTCAAGTTGGAGACAGTACCAGGTCCCCATACATGGGAAGCTAAACTTTCACCGCCTGTTCCTCTTCTTCCACAAGTGTTTGAGGGTTACACTCGACAGTCTCCCTCATGACTGTGTTAGACATACCTTTAGTGATCTGTAAACCAAATGCAACACAATTCCCTTGAAGTGGACAACCCCATGGCTTTCAATGTCTTCAGAGTTGTGGGCCAGCACACTTCCCGCTCCGTGAAAGAAGTCCTTTGTGTGTGTAGGGTGGGGTAAGTCCTCAAGCCTCACAGGCTGGATCTGGTTACCAGGGTGGCTATGTGGGGGTGGGGTGGGACCTTCAGGAGGCGGGGCCTAGTGGAGGTGATGAGGTCACTGGGAACATTGTCCTGAACGGGACTAAGGTGGTTCTCCTGGACCCCAGTTGGTTAGTGAAGCAAGTAGTTACGAAGGGCAAGCCTGTCCCTGTGTCCCTCTGGATTCCTGATTGGTATGTTTTCCTTTGCACATGCTCCAGTCATATGGCACCATCCTCACAGGCCCTCCCCAGGGCTGAGTGGATGCTGAAAGGCACCCAGCCACAGGTGTTCCATTGTAGCAAAGAAAAGCAGACTGGTAGGAGCAACTGCCCCTTCCCCTTCCCCAGCCCAGGCAACCACCGGTCCTTCACATCTGTGGACTCACCTGCTCAGGTTATTTCTTGCCAGTGGACTCACATCTGTGCTTTTGTGTCTGGCTTCTTTCACAGAGCAGTGTTTCCAAGCCCTATCCACCTTGAGGTGGGAGTCAGTGCTCAGCCCTTTCTATGCTACCCAGTGGCCTTTGTGTGGCCAGGCCACATTCTGTTTGTCCATTCATCAGTTGATGGACACTGGGGTGTTTCTACCCTTTGGTGATTTTCATGAATGAAGCTGCTGTGAACACTCATGAGCGAGGTCCCATGTGGTCACAGGTGCCTGTCCCCCAGCACACTCCTGGGGTGTAGTTGTGATGTCACACTTACCTCCTCGTTCAGCCACCCAGCATTGCCAGGTGGCTTCTGTTCACTGTGGAGTCTTATAGAGGAGGCAAGGCCACCATTCTAAGCCTGGAAGGGTGGGTCATGGCAGGGCTGAGTACTGCCGCATGTTGCTCAGATGGTCAACGAGGGGCCAAGGGTTCTCTCTAAGCTGTGTGCCCTGCTGGTCCAAGTCTGCATTTTATGTGCTTGTCCACCCTGCTTAGTGAACACGTCAGCCCTGGTTCCTTGAAAATCTGGGATGTTTGGACCTTCTCCTCTGTCCAGTGAGGTTGAGGGGACACAAATGGGGAAGGACCAGGTCTCCTGCCCTGCCCCTAGAGGATGCAAAAAGTGTCCCAGGAAGGCTGCAGGCTCCTGAATAAACTCTGGCTACTTCCATATGTGGAAACAGTGGCTCAGCCCCCACCCTGGCGTGTGACTGGCCTGTGGGCCCGAGGTAGCAGCATCTTGTGGCTTGCAGGCTCGGCTGTGTGGAAACCTTGGGTGGGTGTGGTGGGGAAGCCTTTCCGATGACTCACCCTGCAGGGAATTCCCTAATGATTTGGAATATTTTTGCTTCTGGACTCGGGCAGTTTCCTACTGAGAACTCAGGGAGCGCCCGATAAGACAGAACACAAAGGCCTTTTCAGGGTGGCCCTCTCCCTTCCTGGTAGAGGCTGAATGTTGAACAGTGCCGTGCTGGCCTGCTTCTGAGCGTGGGCACTTTGAGGAGGACACCACTGGTTGCTGCAATGGCTGAGGCCACCCCTCACTCACAAACTGAGGCTGTAGAGACGAGAGGGTGGGAGCTACTCACAATTTTCTGAAGAGGACGCACCAGGAGCCCTCCCTTACATTACTGCCATCCTTTGTGTCATGCTTGAAACTGCTAAGTATGACAAAAAATACACATCTGCCTTTAAAAGACCATAGCCAGTTTATGGTCCTTTGGGGACTGAAGAGCTATCACCATCCACCTCACTGTGTGGCAACCACAGACGGAGAACCTGGGACAGGACAGGAGGACCTGGGACAAGATGGGAGGACCTAGGACAGGACAAATCCAGCATCCCAGACAGCTTTCCACCTCCCTTCTGGGCTGGGCAGAAAGGCCAGACAAAGCCCAGGGACTAAAAGCGGAACATAATCTTTTGTGGTTCCAAAGAGTCAGATTTTCAATGGGAAACTATGTGTCACGTATGTGACTTGACTCAGGTGTGATTTGGAAGGCAGGGAAGGCATAGTGACTTTTGTTGGTAGCAGGTGGGCAGCTATGGTGCTGGCTGGTGGACTGGCCATCTACACAGTATAGCAGCTCACTCCCTCTTGGGCAGTGTGAGTGTCTCTCACAGGCCCCTGCAGCATGAAGGGAAAGGCATTTGTCTCTCCTGCATGCCTAGCTCCTCAGTGGCTGCTCCACCTCCATATCTGTGTCTCACTGAGCTCTCCCTGAATGGTTTACACAATCTGCAAAGCACACATTCAGAGGCAGTCATCTTGCAGGAGGCCTGGGTGGTGAGATGGAGTCTCCCTCTGTCCTTGGACAGCACTGACCACTGCCACTTCTTGTCCCCCGGCAGCAAAGGCCAGTGCCTCCTCCAGGTGGTTCTCAGTGAAACTTCAGCCATAGTGAGAGCTTTTGGGCTGGCCAAGGCCATAGCGGCTGGCATACCTATGGGCAGGTGGCAGCACCTGTAAGCCTCTATGGAAGTAGAGATGGTTCCTGTCATCAGAGGACTTGTGCTACGAAGACACCTTCATCACACAAAAGGCAGTTCCACCTTCATACACAGAGCATGCACTGTGTGTACAGCAGGAGTATGGCTGGTAGAAACCTCGTGTCAGAGCTGTTTGACATACTCTTGTGGCACTTTGGCACATGTGGCTGGGGTTGAAAATGCTTCTTTACCAAAGTCCCCAAGCTGCCAAGGCCCAGGGGTCACTGCTGTGACACCCTGGCACTTTGGGAGTGGCGAGTGTATTTTTAGTTTCTGCCGTTTTCCCAGAGGGACATGGATGCCTGTCCTGATTGGATCACCAAATGGGCTCATCTGGTGGGGGATTTGAGCCGGGCCTTGGGTGTCCCAGAGGCTGGCTTGGCCCAGCATGGCTGGGCGGCTCTCAGGGCCTCTGGTGACTCACATATCCGCCCTCCGCCCACTGCTGTCCTGGCACAGAAGATGGTGCCTGATTTATCAGCGATGCTCTGGATTGTAACATGCACACATTTTTTTTCTTTGCAAATAGACCATAAACAAAACCTAAATGTGTATGCCTACAATTGTTCAGCTTGGGAACTGACTTCATTTTGGAGAAGATAAGAGCTGGGTAGGAAAAGGGCCCATGGGAGATGGACATCCTGTCAGTTCACAGTAACCACTCAGCGGTCCCTGATCCAGGGCCTGACAGAAGGGATTGGGGTAGCACTGCCTGCTGGACTGACACCTTCCTCTGAGGCTGGGCTCACACCTCACCAGAGAACAATAAGTTCTTTCACTGTGCCTCTGGGAGCTTTTTATTTTTTTAAAACATGCAAAGGGCCACAGGGCTAAGGTTAAAAATACCGTGTGTTTTGCATTTCTGTGTCCTGATGTGGCAAGAGGTAGTCAAAGAAAGGCTTTTCTTATTTCCCCTGTAGATCCTCTGGGAAGAGGCTGGAGCTTCACTCTAACTTCTGCTCCTAAAACACAGGGGAGGCTGGGGTGGGGGTGGTGGCTGAGAGCCAAGTGGCAGCGCCCGGCTTGTTGTTGGAGCACAGCTGGCTTCTTACTGGACTGGTGGTCACCTTGCCTTTCCTATGGTTTGCTCTCCCATGGAAAAGACTGAGGTGTAGAACCCTTCCCTGATTTGTGCTAGGCTGGGGCGACACGTCTAACGTGAGATAGGAATGGAATCCTGGGGCTGCTTGCAGCTATATGTCTCCTTCTTGCTGACCAGGCTGGAAGGAGCCCTGGACATGGAATCCTGGCACCAGCTCTCTGGGCCAGGCATGCATACCCAGGGCCTGGCCCCGTGAGGGCCTTCTATCCAGGGGACCCAGAGTACTGCCCTATCCATCGTCCTAGGTGGACAAAGCAGCATCCTTTTGATGAGACATCCTTTACTGCTCACCTTCCCCTCTCTGAGCCCATGTGCTCAGAGTCACCTGGGAGGATTCGGGATGGGTTCCCACCACACACAATAACAGACGTCTTCCTGTCCTTTGTTCTAGATGGCCACCACGTCTGGGAGATGGAAGCAAAAACTGACCGAGACCTGTGCAAGCCAGTAAGTGTCCAGAGCGCTGTGGGGGGTGAGGGTCCTATTTGTTGAAGCAAAGCAACCTGTGTAAACAGAGGTATAAGACAACACAGCCACACAAGACTTGCTGAAACAATGCTGCCAATAGGAGAACTGGGACAGCAACAGTGACCATAAAGACAGGAAGCTGGGCAGGGCTTGAGGCCTTTTCACCTGGCTGTGCTTTTAAAACATGCAGAAAGCAGCTGCCACCCTGAGCCAGGCTCTGTTGCATCCCTGGAGAAACCCCGTAGCTGGGACAGTCATGCCCATTCCAATGGTCTTGCTGATGGTGTGGCCCTACACAGGCCACTTCCCAGGGGAGAACTTGGCGTTCTGAGCCTCCCACATGTGCCCAGCACCTGCTCAGACATGCTGTGCCACCGTGTGACTTGGCACTGACTTATCACCACTCTCTCCAGACAGCACCCCACTGCCCAGCAGACTTTTGTTTTGAACTTGACATAAACGCATGGTCGGATCTAACCGGATCACTCAGATTTGCTCATTTGATTTACCAATGAGCAGGTGGGTGTGCATGTACCAGAAATCATGGTAAACACGTGACGTGACCTGTGGCTGACGTCACTGGTCTTTGTTTCCTGCCTGCCCATGGCACACAGCATCTGCCCACACTCCCTCTTCACCATGGACCTTCTTGGTACAGTTTACATGTAGTAGGCTCGTATGGTTAATTATTGCATCTGACTGCTTAATCATGGAGCTAAATTTTGTTTGAAATGACTGTGGATATGCTAGTTTTCTTCTGACTAGTGTTAGAGGTTTGTCTTCCTCTAGTCCTTGACCTTTAACCTTTGACTTTACATTTAAAGTGGTCGTCTTGGAGACAGCATGCAGTTGGGTCCTATCAATCCAAATCTGTCTTTGTCACTCCAACACTCTTTTAATTGGTGCACTAGGTGGTTGTTGTTCAAACTGAGGACTGCTGCAGTTGGCTTAAGATCCACAGTGAATTCCTGGAAGGACATGGTACACCAGGGCCAGTGGGTAGGGTTTTGGAGAAATCCAAAGTCCACCAGAGCTCTATAGATCATTCCACTGACCACTGCCGGAGCATCTGAACGGCCTCTTCATGGGCATGAGGAAGGGGAAGGCGTTTACATATACCCAGAGTGTGCAAGTGGGTGTTAAGCTATTCAGAAATACTATGCAGGCACAGGACTTTTTGCTCTTGGGTCATCCTTGGACACTGGGTGGCAGGAGTCACGTGAACAGGACGCATGGGAATCTCATCTTGGCAAAGGTGACTGTGGTTCCCCGCAGCGTAGCTCTCAGGATGCTTGTAGTCTGCCACAGGCCCAGCCCAACTCCCTCTCCTCACAGACGACTCCGTGAGAAGGAAGTGTCTTCTGCTATGAGACTCAGCCCCTCTTCCAGGTGCTAATTCATTCGCCATAGGCCTTTCCAAGAGCTAGTCAGAAAGGTCCTCCCTGGCCTGGGGCAAAACCTGCTTCTTGGGGTGACTCATCCTCGGAATGCCCTGCCTCCTCCAGTGCCAGTGACACACACTGGGGGAGGGGGGTTGTCTTGCTCTGACTTGGACAGGGTTCTTATCTTCACCTGAGAAACCCTTGAGGAAATACTGAAGACCTAGGGGCAGGGAGCACACACACACACAAACACACATGCATACATCAGCATGCACACATACATGCATGCACACACTGACACACACACATGCATAATATACACATGCACGTGTGCTCACATACATATGCACACAAACAAATACATCTCCATGTGCGCAGCACCTATGCACACACACATACACACATGCTCGGGCATGCACAATACACATCTGCACACATCCACGTATGTATGTGTTATTTTGCGATCTTTTTAAGCAAAGTGGGCTTGTTCTATAATTAAGTACATGAGCTTAGTTAACACAACAGGCTCCCACGCCAGTCACGTGGTATGCTGGTGCCGTTCTTCTACATCCACAAGCAAGCTCTGCCATCATTTCATTTTCCTTCACATTCCCTCCTTCCCCTTCCTTCCCTGTATGCAAGTGTAGAGCTCCTGCGCAGATGGCATTTTTGCCAGATAACCCATCTATTTAGAGGGTTGAAGAGCAGTGGCCTGAACCCACCTCAACATGACTGTCAAGTCACTTGTAATTTACAAAAACCAACCCCAGGGCTGAGACTGCCCTGCTGGGGGCTTTCCAATCTCCTCCTCATGACAACTTCTGTTAATGCCTCAATGGCTCATTTTTGCTTTTACCTGAGTGTCACCAAGATGTGTGCGTTCTGTGTCTTCGGTGTGCTCTGTGGAGAGTTACTTCCTTCCCTGGAGACCAGGAGTGGTGCATCTTCACAGTGAGCACTGCTGTGCAGGCAGCAGCACTGCCTGCAGTCTCCTCTAACACAGCCCAGTCCCCAGAGTCCTCTGAATGGTGTCTTTCTCTCTATCTTCATGTGTAAGAGAGGGAACCAACACTCGGTGTGAGCTTCCCAGGTCGATGGCCAAGAGCTGGGCAGAAACCCAGACTTGTGCTGCTGCCACTGCAAGCAGTCTCCCTGCAAATGGACGTGGGCATGGAAGAGTCTACACCTCAGCTCCATCACCCACCCTTCACATGTCAGCTCTGTCTCTCCCACGTCATTTTTGATAAGAGGACAGAGTACTCACCACGTTCTTGTTTCTTAATGAAGCAGTTATAAAACAGCCCAAAAAGATTTCCTGGAGTGAGTGTAGTCCCAGGTGATGGAGCCCAGCGGGGTCTTCGATCCCACCCCTGCCTCTGGCATCCATGGACCTCAGTGGCAGGCTTCTGGGCTGTTTTCTCATCTGTAAATGGAACAGACTAGGCTTGAAGTTACTCAGATTTGTTTCTAGCACTTTAAGATTTTTTTATGAACACGATTCAATAAATTTTGCTACAATTGATTTGCTACTGTTATAACAAGCTACAATTAATTACTTTTAACAAAAGAAATGATACAATGGATTTTCACACATTTTTTTCTACTTGTAAAACTGAAATCACATGATTAAAAACAAAATGAAGAAACTATGGATTTGAAGTCCCCCGAGAAAATCAAGTGCAGCCATCCATAGTGCTGGCCCTCCTTGGGGCTACCTGTGCCATGCTTAGGTTTCACTTCTGGCCAGCATTGCTGGGGCTCCTCAGCAGACAGATGGCTTCACGTGTCCCCATTCCCAGCCAATGACTTTCCCACCGGGCACCTAGTACCCATAGCTCATGTTTTATATTTGTCCTCAAAAGAGCATGATTTTTGTAAAAATTTTGTTGGTTTTTGTTTAAAAATATGAGAAGGAAACAGCAACCAGCGTAACCTGCCCTTTTCTACCTGTCTCATGCCCTTAAACATTCCCTGCCGTGGGCTGAGAGCAGCCCTGGGTTCCCCAGTTTGAGTGAATTTGGGACCTGAGGGGATACTGTAGACATTTTCACACCACCTCTTCCCAGAGATAGTATCATCCTCCCATGTCACCAAGAGGTGACCCCACCTCCAGCAGTGCTTTTCATCTGAAGGCCTTTGTTAGGGCAGGCATGGCTCTGGGACCTCCTGAAGTCCCCACAGCTCAAGCAGCAGCAGGCAGCCTCACCAGGCTGACCACTGCTTGCTGTTGGCACTCAGGTTTCTCTCTTGGGCTCAGCTCTACCTCTAGAGTTTTTGGGTTTCTAGATATGCAAAAAGTCAAGAGCACCTCTTCCCTGTGAGCACACACCATTGGCCAAGCCTTGCTGAGACACGTGAGCATGTGCTGTACACAAAAGTCACTGTCTAAGGCTCTCTGGGCAGCCAGAGGTGGCTGTTGTGATTGGTACGTGGCAGAGATGTCACATCCATGACACCTACTTTGTAAGATGCTAACCACCTGCTTCTTCTTTGCCTCTCTCTCACCAGAATTCCCTGGTGGTTGAGATCCCACCCTTCCGCAACCAGAGAATAACCACTCCCGTCCAAGTCAGCTTCTATGTCTGCAACGGGAAGAGGAAGAGAAGCCAGTACCAGCATTTCACCTACCTTCCTGCCAATGGTAACGCAGTCTTTCTAACCTTAAGTGCTGAAAACGAGCAAAGGGGGTGCTTTTTCTAAAAGACACAGAAGCTGCCAGACAATGTCGTTGTAAAACAACGTGGTTGTGTTGTACATTTACACTGCGTGATAGCCATTAGCAGGACAGAGTCACCTATCCCCTCCATGAAAAGCCAAGCCTTCGATGTTTTTCCCTTCGTTACCGATGCACCTTGGGATAAATGCTTTATCATTTTGCTGGCTTCTTGCAAGCACGCAGCAGCCATGCAGCTCCTTTGCACGCAGAACCTGAGGTGGTCTTGGTGTGCATTATTGAATTCTATGGATCTGGGAGGTAGAAGGCTCGTCGTTAACAGCTGTTTTGTAGGTGGCTTCAGATATAAACTCTTGCTGTTCAGCTGAGAGCTGGCAGCTGCCAAGGTCACTGGGGAGCATGAGTGACTGCCCTCGTGGTGATGCTCCGCAAGCATGTCTCCGTGGAATAATTCATCTCCTGTGATTTGGGGCTTTCAGGCATAGGTGCCCTCTTCCTCTTTGTACTGCCTTTCCCCTCAAAATAATCAGCGTACCTTTTCAACTTTTTAGCGTGTTTTCTTGAAAAAAAAAAACCATTTGGGGGGTGGGATTTTCACTCCCTAAGGTAGTAGAAAAAAGAGGGGTGTCCTGTGGTGTCCTGGGGGCTTCTTGTATGGGTACAGGCCACTCTCCTGGCCAGCAGGACATGTGGACTGCCATCCCAAGCCTTACTGTGTTCTGAATCAGCTCAGTTATTTCAACACAATCTTTTTATACTGTTGCTCTTTTTTCTAAAAATTTGAAATTCATATAATTTAAGAGGGAAATTATACACTAAAACTATTGGTGAAAACAGCCAAATGTCATCTTAGTAAAAATCAAGATTTTTTTTAAAGGTTTCAGTTTTCTCTGAATGTAAAAAGGCATTTGCAATCAACTAGATAATAAGAAACCCCAAGCATGTCTAAGTTGGCATTAAACTTCTGGGGTTAATCCTTTTATCAGGCAAATCCTAGAAATGGTTTTCAAGACTTGAAATAATAGAATTTTATTATCAAGTCATTATACCATAAGGGTGTCTGTCCCTGAACCAGAGCTGTAAGAAATGCCACATGTGACCCTTGGCCCAGCCACCTGCATCATGTCCTGCAACTGCTCTTGGGTTTATGCAGTATCTCACTCCTAGTTCATGAATCCCATCCATTTTTGGAATAATGTACAAATTTCTTACACAAGAAAACATTTAGTGTTTTATTGAAAGTACAATGACTGTGACCTAATTAAACTTCAAGCATGGTTGACCAAAAATTGAATACTGTAAAGAAAATCTAAAGCAATGTGGGGAACAGCATGAAAGTTCTTTTTTGTTTTCCTGTTTGATGGCACACTGCGCCGCTCTCCTCCTGCCCACAGAGGCTTACGTGGTGCTGGGCTTCAGCACTGAGTCCCCACGGCAGGTAAAGGGGCCTGAAGAGTGGGAGGCTGAGATCACAGAGCTGGCGGCTGAGTTCCACTGCTGTCTCCTGCCACACCTCACCCTGCAGTCAGCAGCCAGTCCTGCCAGCTGTGCCCTGCTGTCTGCCCTGCACCCCTTTGCCTCCCGTTCTCCAAGTCGACCTGTTACTGGGTGCCCCTCTGCCTATCACCCACCCAGACTAGCTCATTTGCAGAGCAGGGCTTCCCCAGCTCCCTCCTGGGCTAAGGGCCCATCTGGTCCTGGCCTCTTTCCAGCCTCCTCCATCCCTACTCTCCTGGACATTTGCCTCCAGTCCCCAGGTGACTATGGCCACCAGCCTGGTCCTGAGGATGACAATTGTACTCCCTTCCCACCTGACTGTGCACTCCTTCACAGAGACCTGGGCCACCACAGGGTCGAGTCCCTGACGTTATTCAGCGCCTGATGTGTGGCCAGCTGTCAACATGTGCTTCTTAAAATAAATAAACGAGCAGATGGAGAAATGCAGCTCCCGTGTCCGTGTTCTGTCTGGTGCTCTCCCATCACACTCGGGGCACCTGCAGCTCTGGGGCTGTGAGACACAGAAGCTGCAAGACCACTGTGGTTTCCAGTGCCCAGAGCCTCTCCTTCTTACATCAGTGTGTTTGTGTCCTGGAGCCCCACTTGGGTGGCTCCTGCTCGTTGTCACCAGGCTGAATACTGTGCCCACATGAGCCAGAACCAGCAGCTCCAAAGTTCAAAAGTCTGGTGTTGATGAAAGCCCCACAGAACGGGCAGGTGGAGGGCTTTTGTTCCAGCATTTGCCCGATTCCACAGAATTTTTGGTTTGCTCTTCTTTCTCTTTAACTGTGAAGGTGCTAGCCCTTACCTGCGTTTTGCTGCATCATTGCAAGAGCAGACACTCTGCAGACAGACAGGTTCTTAAAGTCATAACATGCTGTTGAGGTATATGAGATAACAGAAATAAACCCATTTAAACCCTACCTGTGAAATTCATTTTCATGCGCCACTATATAAGGGCAAGTCTCATTTGGGGTTTCTTTCAAACTTAGGCATAAGGGTAGCTCAAGAGGCTGCATCAGACACCTATCTCTCTCACCCTCAGGAAGGGTCCCACTTCCCACAAAACCACCCCTTGTGGGCCCCATCTGAGTCCCAGCATGTTGGAAGTTGAGGTTCCCAGGTGTCTTGTTGCCTGTGGGGAGGGAAGAGGACCTCATGGCCACCAGCCTACTTTCTGTTTCGGCAGTAAAGTTGTCTCCTGACGACTTGGCAGCAGGTAAACTAAGCCAGCAGCTCTGAGTGATGCCCACCTGTGCGCCTGTCACTTTTCAGGCTAAACTGTCACGGTGGTCGGATAGCAGGTAATGAGGCAAGTGTGCAGGTGTTTTGGTGCGTGGTCTGTGGAGGGCATTCTGGCTTCCCGGGCCCTCTGGGTGGAGGCAGCGGGTGTCTAACAGGAAAAAGTTTCCACTTGAACGTAGGCGCGGCCAGTTGGCAACCCCTGCACTCAGCCCTCTGCCGTCCCTGGGATAGCCATCAAGCCCAGAATGGCGAAAACACCCGTGCAATCATAGAGGGGGCTGCATAGCACATGGACCCACCCAGGGAGGCCCTCTTAAGTTTCTTGTTTGTCACTGTTTTTGCTTAACTGTGCCCAAATTTAGTCTTCCAAAAGGAAAATGTGCTGTCTTCCTAGATGAGCTGTAAGAGCTGGGGTGCCCTGGAGCCTGTCATGAGACAGAGGCTCTGCCAGGAATAGTCATGGTGTAAGCCGTTATCCAGCCTGTCAGTTATAATTAGAGACATGATGGTCTGTGCACGTGGGGTGTCTCCCGTGTGGGTTTCACGATGAGCGTCCACGCTGGCCTGGGATCTGGTTGGAGTGATTTCTGTCCCTGGGCTTAGAAGGGTAGGCCTGACGCCTGTCTTACAAGGGTGAGGGCTTTTAGAAAAGAAAACTGAATGATGAACTCAAAAGTGCATCTCAAAGTCAGTGTTTCTTTAAAATGAGGAAATCATGATAGATTTTTGGATCTTTGGGACTCAGTTCACCTGAAACCACTTTAGTTGATCTCCTAGGAATGCATCTGAGGCTGCTGGCTCTTCCACCTGGGTTCAGGTGAGGATGTCTTCCACTCTCAGAGCCCAGGAACACCTGCTGACACTGCTTCTGGGGAGTCCCTGAGTGGTCAGAGCGGGGGTTTGAGGTGGGGCACGCAGCCCTACAGAGGGTCACCTGGGGATTGGGAGCAGTGTCTGACATAAATCCTGCACATGACTATGGGCAAGGATGAGCATCATTCAGCTGACACAGCATAAGTCTGCCTGGAATTGTGGGCCTCTGGCTCCCCAGCCTCCCTGATGGGGGACTGGGCTCTGGGGTAGAGACATGAGTCACCTGGAGAATGAAACTCCAAGAAGAGCCATACTTCCTTCCCTTCCTGGTTACTAACAAAAGAGCCCATCTTTCTGATCATACAACAGTGAAGTAAGATTGAAAAAATCCGTTTCTACTTCAAGGGGGAGAATTTATCGTAGTGTGGAAGTAGACCTGGGCACGGACACCCAGCCACTGCCCTGACAGCAGCCCCTCTGCAAACGCCTCTCTGAGCCTGGTTTCAGGAGTGAGGTGCAGAGAGCCAAGCAGCCTGGTGAGCACTGGGCACAGGTTGGCCATGCTCATTGGAAAGGACCATGCCCTTCCTAGAGGGGCTGTATCTTCCAAACCCTGCCCACCCCATCCTGTGATGTCATTGCTGTCCCACCCCTATTGGAGACAAAAGCCTCCTTGCTCTAGACACTAAGTGAGATCAATCTTGGATAATGTAGGTCACTCTCCAAGCCTGGGAGACAGGACCGTGTTGCCCGGCCACATTCAAGGCAGAAGCCCTCCTGCATCCCTCAGCTGACCTCCCCAGCTGCCCAGTACCCAATGTGGCAGATGTAAGCCACAGGACCCTCTCATGTTAGGACCACCTCCTGGACTGACATGCAGCCCCTCATCAGAGCCCTCCCTTATGTCAAATAACATGTCATGCTGACTTCCTACCCCATGGTGCGTAGCGCGTGTTGGTTCTGGGAGACCCAGCCTCCTGATAGTTTCCTCTACCAGCAAAATAAAGTCTCATGGAGAAGCCAGGGGGAAGGTCGGGGACGTGGAGAGCTGCCCTTGTTCCTGGAGCTGCGGATGGCATCTGTACTCATCAGCCCCCAGGGACCTCGGGAACCAGCTGGCCACTTTGGCTCCCAGTGCCACTTTGCTTAGTGGTGTGGCTAGTCCCATGGACATTCTGAAGCATCCTTCCTGAGTCAGCTCAGTCATGTGATAAACACATGTCATGGAACTGAGCCTCCCCAGTAGGGCCAGGCGTGTGCACCCGATGTTCCCGACCCCCAAGTCTCACATCAGTCAGGGGCATGATTTTGCTTCTCACTCCCCATGTTTCAAGCCTAACATAACAGAAAAAAATTAACTCCCACATACAGTGGGGCCTTGGCCCCTCCACACCCATGGGGAACTCTGAGCT